AGTATAGACAAAGCTGACATGTCCATCTGCTGTCTCTTTCACAGTCCCTTTTAGGAACAGAGTCACATGACTCTGAGATGGCCTCTGAGAGGTAGCTGAAGCATTCAGCTTAGGACAGAAAAAGGTCAAATGTTCAATACTGGCCTTTGACTTTATCACCTAAGCACCCTCTTCTAAACAGCTCAGGTCTCCACCACCATGAGCAACCACGCATGAGCAGCAAGCAGAGAAATGGAACATCTTCCTGAAGGAAATCCAGATGGGGCTGCTATGGGGAAAAGTCTTTTTCTTCACTCCCCATGAGAAGGGGCAGCTTTCCTTCACTGGCCTTTGTTCCTTTCAGCACCTGGAATGCTTCCTCCTGGTCTGCTCTTTTTGCCTCTCTGAATCCCACAAGGACCAGCTCAAATCCCTTCCCTTTCCTGAAACCCTTCCTGACCCTCCGCAGTAAACAGTAATTATCCCTCCACCCCATGAACACCTGGACAACCCAGTGCCCATGCTACTTAACATTTCTGGTGTTTTCTCTTATATTGTCAATTATTTTTTCTCATATTTTTTCCTATATTACTTAAAAGGGACATAATGGCCTGGATTTTTGTAAAACCTATAGCATCTTATATCATATGGCACACATTAAGAAAATACTTGGTAATTTGGAAGAAAAGCATCTAGAAAGGAATTTGACTGAGGTAAATGTACTTAATGAAAGATTATTGGAGATATTATGAGAAACATCTATGTGCCTATAATACTTTTATAATTTATGAAAGTATGTTAAATAATTTCCTTACGAGAACAATTACAAATGAGTCTTGGATTTCCCGAGTAGACATGAGAAAGTGTTTCATAGTTAGCAATGAGTAAGGTTACAAATACACAAAGGCAGAGATGGAGATGCTTATTTGAGCTGAAACAAAGTCATATTTTGGAAATTGCTCTATGTATTCCACAGTTATTTGTTATATAAACCTATATGTGATTCTCCTATTGTGTTAATTTCTGGTTAGTGTTAATTCATTTGTATCCAAAGTACCAAGTCATCTCATTTATCTGTTATAATTCAGAAATACCAAACATAGTACATCTACCTGACCATCAAATTTTGTTTTTATTCTAGACGAAATCTCCTACTGAGTCAGGTCAGTGAGATATACACAAAATGCATCTCTGGATCCAAAACAGTTAAAATGAGCTACTTGCAATGGCCCATGGTCTTCTGATAAGCTATGTACAACTTAAATTTTTTTTAATTTGTTATTTTTAGATATACATGACAGTTTTGTGTATTTTGACACATTATATATACGTGGAGTATACCTTATTCTAATTAGGATCCCATTCTTGTGGTTGTACATGATTTAGAGTTTTACTAGTAACATATTTATATATGAACATAGGAAAGTTACTTCTGATTCATTCTATTGTCTTTCCCATTCCCTTCCCCCTCTCTTCCTTTTGTTCCCCTTTGTTTAATCCAATGAATTTCTGTTCTTCCCTCCTCCCCCCATCTTATTGTGTGTTAGCATCTGCATATTAGAGAGAACATTTGGCCTTTGGTTTTTGGGATTGGCTTATTTCGCTTAGCATGATAGTCTCCAGTTCCATCCATTTACTAGAGAATGCTATAATTTCATTCTTCTTTATGGCTGAGTCATAGTCCATTGTATATATATACCACATTTTCTTTATCCATTCATCTGTTGAAGGGTACCTAGATTGGTTCCATAGTTTAACTATTTTGAATTGAGCTGCTATAAACATTGATGTGGCTGTGTCACTGTAGTATGCTTATTTTAAGTCCTTTGGGTATAAATTAAGAAATGGGATAATTGGATCCAATGGTGGTTTTATTCCAACTTTTCTGAGGAATTTCCATACTGCTTTCCAGAGTGGTTGTACCAGTTTGCAGTCCCACTAGCAATGTATGAGTGAACTTTCCCCTCACATTTTCATTAACTTTTATTGTTACTTGTATTCTTGATAATTGTCATTCTGACTGGAGTGAGATGTAATATCAGTGTAGTTTTAATTTTTATTTCTCTAATTGGTAGAGATGTTGAACATTTTTTGTATATTTGTTGACTGTTTGTATTTCTTCTCTGAAGTGCCTGTTCAGTTCCTTTTCCCATTTATTGATTGGGTTATTTGTTTGTGGTGTTTTTTGAGTTCTTTATATATCTTGAAGATTAATGTTCTATATGATGTGCAGGTGGCAAAGATTTTCTCCTATCATGTAAGCTCTCTCTTCGAGTTCTCGATTGTTTCCTTTGCTGTGAAGAAGCTTTTTGGTATGAATCCATCCCATTTATTGATTCTTGATTTTACTTCTTGCACTTTAGGAGTCTTGTTGAAGAAGTCAGTTCCTAAGCTGGCATTATGGAGAGTTGGGCCTATATTTTCTTCTAGTAGGTAAATCCTTAAGTCCTTGATACACTTCTGGTCAAATCCCTAAGTCCCTGATACACTTCATGTTGAGTTTTGTGCATGGTGAGATATAGGTGTTAAAATTAATTCTGCTATGCATGGATTTATACCAATGATGAGTCAACTGAAAGGAAAATTGGGAAAACTATCCCATTCACAGTAGCTTAAAAAAAAATACTTGTAAATCAATCTAACAAAAGATGTGAAAGACCTCTACAATTAAAACTACAGAACACTAAAGAAAGAAATTTAAGAAGACCTTAGAAGATGGAAAGCTCTCCTATGATCTTGGATAGGCAGAATTAATATTGTCAAAATGGCCATACTACCAAAAGCGCTGCACATATTTAACACAATTTCTATTGAAATTCCAATGATGTTCTTCATATAAGTAGAAAAAGCAGTCATAAAATTTATTTGGAAAAATAAGAGGCCCAGAATAGCCAAAGCAATCCTTAGCAAGAAAAGTGAAGCAGGAGACATGACAATACCAGACCTTAAACTATACTACAGAGCTATGGTAACAAAAATGGCATGGTATTGGCACCAAAACAGATACGTAGACCAATTGTACAGAAAAAGAAGACCCAGAGACAAATCCACATACATACAGTCCTACTAGACAAAGGTGCAAAAAAAAAATTAATTGGAGAAAAGAAAGTTTCTTCAACAAATCATGCTGGGAAAACTGGAAATCTGTATGTAGAAGAATGAAATTAAACCTCTATCTCTCACCCTGCACAAAACTCAACTCAAAGTGGATTAAAGACTTAAGCACTAGAACAGAGATCCTGTGCCTAATAGAAGAAAATACAGGCTCAAATCTTCACCATATCAGCCTATGATCTGACTTTCTTAAAACACTCCGAAAGCACAGAAGTAAAACCAAAAATCAATACATGGGTTGGATTCAAACTAAAAAGCTTCTTCTCAGCAAAGGAAGCAATCAATAACATAAAGAGAGAGCCTACAGATTGGGAGAAAATATTTACCACATGCACCTTAGATAGAGCATTAGTCTCCAGGATATATAAAGAACTCAAAGGACTTTAACACCAAAAGTATGGTGGGCAAGGCACTTCACAGAAGAAGTAATACAATTGATCAACAAATATATGGAAAAATGTTCAATAAATTTAGATATTAGAAAAATGCAAATCAAAATCACTCTAAGATTTCATTTCACCCCAGTCGGAATGGCAATTATCAAGAATATAAACAACAACAAAACTATGTAGGGGATTGATACAGAATAATATGCAAATCAAAGTCATGACAAAAAAAGAATACAAACAACAAGAAAGATGGTGAGGATATGGGGAAAATGTTCACTCATACATTGCTAGTGGAAATTTAAATTTGTGCAATCATTATCGAAAGCGGTATGGAGATTCCTCAGAAAACTTGAAATGGAACCACCATTTGACCCAGCTATCCCACTCCTTGGTTTATGCCCAAAGGACTTAAAAATCAGCATACTACAGTGACAGAACCATATTGATGTTTAAAGCAGTTCAATTCACAATAACTAAACTATGGAACCAACCTAGGTGCTCTTCTACAGATGAATGGATAAAGAAAATGTGATACATACACCCCCCCACACACACACACACACAATGGAGTATTGCTTAGCCTTAAAGAATGAAATAATGGCATATGCCAGTAAATGAGTGAAGCTGTAGAATATCATGCTAAGTGAAATAAGCCAATCCCAAAAAACCAAAGGTGTAATGTTTTCTCTGATATGTAGATGCTAATTCACAATAAGGTAGGGGTTAGGGAGGACTAGAGTTACTTTAGATTAGATACAGTGAAGGGAGGGGAGGGGCTATGAGGCTAGGAAGGTTAATAGAATGAATCAGACATTATTATCCTATGTACGTATATAACTTATGACTGGTGGTACTCTACATCATATACAACCAGAAAAATGAGAAATTATACTTCATTTATATATGATGTATCAAAATGCATTCTGCTGTTACGTATAACTAATTAGAACAAAATTTAAAAGGTAAAGAAAAGAAATATAAGACCAACATACAATCCCAGCTCTCACTCCAGTCATAGGCTTCTTTTCTCAGAATTAATTCTAAGTTTACAAAAAGGAGCCAAATTAGGACATATTAGTTAGTCTGAATTTTCAAACCTTACATTAAATCATCATCAAAGAACACTAATTTAAATAAGAATTAGAGTTATTTGTTTCATTCACATCTTCAGATTTCTGAATTATACATTAAAGCAATACATGACATCTGCATATGCTTTACACGAAAGAAAAAAGTATAAATGCCTCAGGGTGCATCTGCCTAGCTAAGAAACAGATGAAAAAAGTCTTTTTCTATAGTTCCTATTAAAGTACAAAGAAATATAATATTAAAGGCTACAAAAATAAGGTCAAACTTATATAAGGCAAATAAATCAATAAAATCTATAGCAAAGACCAGAATATGTTAAATTAATCTGAAAAAGCTGAGTTTCTAAGACTTTGAAAAACGAGAAAAGTCATTTGGCAAAATCCTTAACTTGGATTCTTTTTTCTTGTTGTTGATTGATTTTGTTCCTAGGTTCCAGATTCAGAGATATGCAACTGATCCAAACAGTTATAAAAGCTTAGGGGACAGCTTTCGTATGATCTTCCGAACAGAAGGGTATGTATTATTTTTCTTGTACAGACTATATTGACATAGACTTTTTAATGTATTTCTATTTAACATGTTTTCTCATTTTCAGTGGTTTATTTCCATAGTTTATTAGGGAAAACATACTTAAAAGTGTGCCTTCCTATTTCATTATGTTTTTCCTGAGATGATTAAAAACTGAACATGTATATAATATGATTATATGTATGTAATATAATATATGTGTATATAATATAATTACTACCAAAATATTAATAATTAATAATAATTACTACCAAAAGAGTATTAATAACCAATTTAATGACTAGAGGACAATTTCTAATTTATTTCATTAAGGCTTTTAAAACTTCTCATAATGGAGACCATCTAAAATTAACAGTTATTTATATTGGTACTTAGATATAATATACAAATGCATTCCTTGTTTGCACAAGGTTTATAAATATGCAATCAAAACAGATCTGTGTCGACTCAAAATCAAGGGTCAAATATTCTCATGTGGAAGCTAGAGCACAGTAAGGGGGAAAAAGGTGGGGCAGGATATCATAAAGACAGAGGGAAGACCAGCTGTGTAGAAGGACAGTGAGAGGGAGAGAGGAGGGAAGGGAAAGGGGAAGAAATGCAGAATGGATTTCACAAATTATTCTGTATGCATGTATAAACATACTGCAGTGAATTCCACCTTCTTTTGTACCTACAAAGAACCAATTAAAAATACATAAATGAGTGCAAGGTAGACCAGTAGAGTAGAAGGAGGAGGATAGAGGTAGGGAGGAGGGAAGCACTAGAGACTAAAATGGAGTAAATAAAATTCATGCATGTACAATTATGTCAAAATGAACCCAACTATTATGTACAACTATAATGTACCAATAAAATTAAACATATATAAAAGACCTTAAGGTCTAATGAAATAATGAATGTTTTAACAGATCATAAACTTTTGATTTATTATTTTACTTAAATAAAATAAATAATAAATAAAAACTCTAGAAAAAAGTAAATATATACATATATGTATATCTTCTGTTCTCTTTAATATCTACAGATTCTATAGTCAGTGGAATTTCATAGTAAACTCATAATAAAATTTTAAAAAGATTTGTCAAAAATTGATGCATCAAAGTCATTATCATATCTGGTAAATGATCAGATAAATAGAATACATTGCTCACATAAGCTAAAATTTCTTATATAACACAGTTAAAGATTGTACTGTATCATTTTTAAATTATACTTTATAATACTAAACATATTACATTTGCTTTTGAAAGTTGTTTTTTATTTAAAGATCTTTAAAATGATAATTATTCAAAATTTTATTAGCAATAATAATAACTAGCATATATTTAGCCTCCTTATGTGCTAGGAATTCTCCCTACAATGTTGAGCTATGTACCTTTCCAGTTGGACAGATAAAGAAACCAAGATTTAGAGAAGCTAGTCATTTTTACTTATCTGATAAGTGGTGGAAAGCACTTTAAACCAAATTTAAGTCAGTTGACCCAAAATCCTTGATTTTAATCACTGTAGTCACTACCTCTCTTGCCAAATTATACTATAAGTGCTATTCTGATAATCATTTATTTCAAGTAATGCTATCTCATGGATATCTTTCCATGTCAGTATATTCTTTTTAACAACAACATAATTATTTATCTGTGAGCTACAATTTATTAAAGTAATCCCTTTGGTGGATTTTTATGTTGTTTCCAGATTTTTGCTATTATAAACACCAGTACAATGCGCACACACACACACACACACACACACACACACACACACACATACATATACTTGAATTTTAGAAATATATTTATTTTTTAAATATGGTATTTATATTTTAAGTATATTTTACATTTACACATTTATATAAAATAAGTTGCTAGCTATGGATTTCTAGGATCAAATTATATGCACACATTGTATTACAGATGCTGACAAATTACCTTCCAAAAAGTATGTACTGATTTTATACTCAGTATTTGAGAGTTCATATTGCTCCATGCTCTCTCAAATATGGGACATTATTAATCATTATGTGTGATATCTTTCCCTGACATGTATCTCCTGCTGACCATCTGACAAACTAAAAATGAAACTGTCTTAATTGTGTTCCTCTTATTGTTACTGGCATTGAGCATACTTTTTTATCATGAGGTATCATTTCTTTCAATTCTTGCCAATTTGTGTTCTTTACCTATTTCTCTCAGGTTAGTTTTTAAATTGATATGTAGGAACTTAATATATATTACAGAAATAAATTCTTTGACTGTTATATAGATTGCAAACATTTTCCTAACTTGTCATTTGCTTACAACTGTAGTGTCTTACTTATCCTTTCAGAAGCTTGACTTTTGAAAACTTACATGTGATCCTATCAGTCCTTTGAACTGTCTGATGTCACACTAAAATAAAAACGAAACAGTCTCTAACCCCAAGTTTACAAATATTTTCTTATTTTTTTGTTTTTGTTTTCTACATTTAAATCTTTAATTTATTCCAGAATTTTTAACAAATGTGCAGTTTGATATACAGGACTTAAATTTCATTTTGAAATGACTAGTCAATTGTCCAAACACCACTTGTTGAAAAAATCCATCTTTTACTCATGAATTGAAAATGCTACTTTTCACATATTACACTTCTGCATATAGCATCATCTAGAGTTTCTATTGTTTCTCCATTTCCTGTTATGTTTCATTAATTATCTCTATGTCAGTATCATACTGTTTTAATTATTTTATCTTTAGAGTATTTGGGGACTATGTAAAAATATGCCCTGCAGTATAAAGTTTAAATTCCTTCCTTATTGTGCAGAGCCCTTCCTTGTATGGCCCTCCCTTCTTCTCCCGGCTCATTCTGCATACACAGATAGGTTCTAGGAAAAGCAAATGGTTTGCAGTCCTCTGATCTCTCACACTGTCATGGCTTTTTCATGTTCTCTATTCCTGGAGGACCCAAACTCCTAATCCACCCAAGGAACTACCCCTCTTCATTCAAAGGTGATTGCAAATTTCCCCAGCCTGACCATCTCTTGTCTACCACATGCCAAATTATTTTCCCTCTTTCTTTCTCTCCTCTCTTCTTTCCTCCCTCCCTCCCTCCCTCCCTCCCTCCTTCCCTTCCTTCCTTCTTTCCTTATGTAAGTATGGTATATAAAATATAGTACACACTACCCTTTCTCCCTCTCCAACCCAAGATTATATTTCTCTAAGGGCCAAACCCCATTTAGCTCTATATTCCTGATGCTGTTTGTACTGAGTGGAGACAGTATGTGAATACTAAACAGAAATGAAAGTCATCATAGCAACATCATAATGCTGCAAAGTGAAACAGAGACAATAGTTTATGCAGTAGACCACCCTCTCTGAAGTTATAATAATGATCTTGAGACCTTATTAAATATTTTCTAGTCATCTAGTGACAAAGGATCAGCAAATCCTTCTTGCTATGACTTTGAAGATGTGATATCTAAGTGCCATACACTGACAATACACTTCTATTAACAATAAGTGGGATAAAAAAAATCATGTGTATTTCACTCAATGTATAAAAGTTATAGAAATCATAGTGTGTTACCTAGTAACTGAATTTCTCTTTCTGGTGAAACAGTCACTTCAGCATTGCCAAGTTCTGTAAGCTGTAACAGATATCTGAATTGGATGTGGGCGTTTCTTAGCCAAGGTCTTCATTTCATGTGTGTTTTAAGAAAAAAAAATGATGTTTCTGCTTTGATACCAAAAATATAACAAACACACAGTATGTGTGGTCCTTGCATAGAAAAATTGGGCTTTTCCTATACTGTATGTATAATTGCTTCTAGAACAAACTGATATTTTTCTGCACTGCCTGTAGATCTGGTCATCTATTTGTTAACCAAAGGCCAAAAGGTTCTCATCTTAGAAATGAAAATATTTGTCAAAATACAAAAGAAAAATTTGCTTGTTAATTTTGATATGGAGCAAAAGCATTTCATAGCCTTAGGTTAAAGAAAGTCAAGCAAACAAAAAAGAAAGAAAAAGAAAAGAAAACATTTTAATACATGCTGTGTTAGATTTTTTTTTTCCTCTAGCAAAAGCATATCTTTTTAATTTTGTTATTTGGAGTATACTGTGTTTTTAAAGATGTTCTTCTTTCCCAGATGCATAAAGGTTGGTTTTCTCTTTGGCCTATGAGGAGATTAATACTAGTTAGTTTGACTATTAGGATCTGTCCTCCATGTTGTAAGTTTTGAAAATTAGTCCTTTCCCTTTGAAAAACACTAAGAATATGTACATTTAGAATCTGTACAAATACCCCCATTTCCCCACTGTAAGAAAGTGAAGTGATACTCACCACCATTCTTAGAGACCCACCCATTTCCCACCTCTCTGCCTAGAAATCATATGCTTCCAAAAGACAGTTGCTCAACCACATGAGTCTAAACCCCTTTATTGCTTCTAAGATTCCAAAAACACAGAAAGATTGTGCTTTTATTAACATCATGGGTTTTCAATATAGTTTTTCAGAGATTAGATTAATTTAAGTTTTTTAAGCCTTCTAAATTCTGGGTAGAGGTTTCTATCATATGGAATTTTCATAATTAATTGACTTTTACCAAGAAGGCTGTTTTCAGAAAGAAGGGAGAACTTCAAAGGGAATGAAGGCAGGAAAGGAATGTGTTATTGTCATTGTTAATAATATCTCAGTTATCACCATGATTCTTTATTTTTCTCTGGTTTGACAGAATTAACTAATAGTTTCATCTATTGTATAATAAAGTGAGCCCCAAAGCTATAAAGATGAAGTCTAGTTTATTAGGAGCCTCTAAAGCCACTAAGTTCCTTTCTGTAAACTGTTAAACAATGGCTAGTGTCCCTGTTAACCATGTGCCCACACATCAGCCTCATTTCCCTTTGCCTCGAGTATCTCAGGAAGGCTTTGGTACTTGTCAGTCCTTTAATTAAGAGAAACTGAGGTGTTCATAGAGGGATGAGGAGATTATAAATTATGTTAATGTAAAACCA